ACAGGCGTGAACCACCTCACCCGGCCACAGTTTTTTAAGTTAGTAGTTATTGCTACTATTCTAATTACTATTAGAATAGTAATTAGTATTACTACTATTCTAATTACTATTAGAATAGTAATTAGTATTACTACTATTCTAATTACTATTAGAATAGTAATTAGTATTACTACTATTCTAATTAGTATTACAATTTCAGTCTTAAAATAATTTATTGTCTCTGGGGAACATTATTTGCTCTTACTATGTATATTCATGTGTTCTCTTTGGAAACAGGAAGATTTTTGTTTTGTGCATATTAGATTTACTAGAGGATTGACTGGTGAGAACCAGAACGTCAAGGTGTAGCATAATTGCAGGTGTTCTCAATATTTGAGTTTATTAACATAACAGGAAAAAGGGTTTCTTTGGGACATTTATTGTGTTAGCTTATGTTTTTTTGGATTCATTTATATTGTATCAAAAACATTTGGTGCTCAAACTTGATTCTGTCACATTACACTGAAGGACAGGCACTTTGTTTAAAGAATTGATTCTAAAGTAGGAAATAACAGCTTCCCCATTTAAACTCTTCACAGTCGTTCTCAAACATTAGCTGACATCAGAATCAAAATAGTTAAAACAGATAGCTGTGATCTCTGCCACCAGGGTTTCTAAGTAAGTAAGTCTGGGGTGGGGCCTGAGAATTTGCACTTCTAGAAAGTTCCAGTTGATGATGCTCATGTATCACTCATTCTGAGAGGTACCCTTTGAGAAGAAGGGATCCAAACCTCTGGCAGGTTTGACAAAGAATAACTTAGAGATACTTTTATTTAAAACTGTCTTTTGAGTTTTATCTAAGGTTATATTTTTTTAATATTTAATTTTTTTTTTTTTTTTGAGAGCCTCACTTTGTCACCCAGATTAGAGTGCATCTCAGCTCACTGCAACCTCAGTCTCCTAGGCTTAAGGGGTCCTTCCACCTCAGCCTGCTGAGTAATGCTGCTAATGTTTTTTTGGTAGAGACGGGGTTTTGCCATGTTGTCCAGGCTGACCTTGAACTCCTGAGCTCAGGTGATCCATTCTCCCCAGCCTTCCAAAGTGCTGCGATCATAGGCGTGAGCCACCCTGCCCAGCCTCTAGGAATGCTCTTGATCGAAAATGGTACTGAAGTTGGTCTTTTTATGAGTGATAGTACCAGTTTAATATAAGTAACATCTTGGGAGATAACTTCTTGACATCAAAAGATAGACATGCTTGCTTTTCACATTTTTCTTTAAGCCTG